TACAGACCGTACTGTATGTATGTATGCCTTCGTTACGCTGTTTAACGTTAGGATTGTACTTATCGTAGCAAGCAATAAGTCCCACCCACTTACTCAGGGACGTTTTAGGTCAATAGTACCAAATTCCCTGAGTGAGTGGGTTTTGACCAATTGAGTGGGTGTGTCACCCACTCACTCGGGGAATTGGTCGACCCCAGCGTGTAGCTGTACTTCCATCTCAGTTCGTAGCTGCGGCTACGCTATGGCGGCTAGCGTAGTTCTGTTCACGGTTGAATAGGCTACACCAAGTACCGTAGATGAACTTCAACCGGCTAATCATGCAATGCACAAAATATCACATCCCTGCCTGCTACTTGAATGGACACAGTAACCACACTAGTATGGTAAGTCTACTTACCAGTCTATCAACGGGGCATAGCTGCAGATTCTCTTGCGAACTCTCTGCGACACAGTACTAGTTAGTACTAGTATGTATACCGGTATATTTGTACCGAGAATGGACATTGGTGGCGGGTGGCAGAGGCTTGGAGGGGGAGTGAGTTAAGACTTGACATTTGGTTAGACAGGGGTACAGTAACTTAAGTTAGCGATAGCATAACGTTCCTATTAATAGTAGTTGATATGGATTTTGTGGCGCAATGTGTGGGTTTTGCGAAGCGCAAATGCTCATAGATGCTGTGCGTCAAGTTGTCGCAGTAGAAGCGGTTTCAAGGGAACTATACGTATGGGCGCAGTTATTGATTGGTAGAAAACAATCACTCCGAAAATTTTAGCTAATCACAAGCAATTCTTATTGTGCGTTTCACATATTTTGCCCGTTGTTTTAGCTCCTAAAACCATCCAAAGTTTAACCTAAACTGAAGTTGCACTCGACGTAAAAGTAAGCTTCCCCACCGTTCTGTCATTAGGCCTCCAGCTCAAATAGTTGGTTTCTGCTCAAAGACCTAGCTATTTTGAAGTATCCTGTGGTTATTTTGGAAATGATTCACTTTTTGCTCATATATGGATTTGTATCTTAATGATCAACTATTTCGAGAATAGATTGACATCTCGCGTATAGACCGTGTTCATTTGTAATGTACCGCCGATTTGATCAGAAACTGCTCAACTACATGAAATATAACGTTATAGAGAGCGATGAGAGGCAACATGAGCCACCTTTTAATTGGTCGCTGCCACAAGTTCCCGCGTAATTGCACACCCCGGCGACCAAGCCACACCACACAAACAAATACGACTGCTATGGTGTTTAACGTCGCATCCATGGTGGAACGCTTGCAAGTACAAGCAGTCTCCGACCAGCACTATCTCGAGGACTGCCTCAACGTGTTCGGAGCCGTCGCTGACGAAGACGACGCCGTCGTTGTGACCAATAACCCTGTGATCGACAAGGTCCTTGAGGA